CCTTACTGCCATCTTGGAAGGGCAGGGTGTTGGGGTAAAAAGCCTACCCCACCCCCAGCCACAACCTTTTATAGTCGCCACTGGCTTCGTTATAGTTCTCACGTGCAGCTGTGGTGTTTGAGGAGTTCCCACCTCCCTCCTTAGCTGTGCTGTATCTGTCACTGCTCCTGCCTCCTTGCAGTTCCACTCAGCACGATGCAGCCCCTTCCTAGCTGGTCTGCTTTGCACAGCTCAACACGTGGCAATTACTGGTGATGCTTCTGCTCTGCAAGTGCACTCCACTCCTCACTAGGTGCTAAACTCCTGTCACATCCTAAGCTCACACATGTTTCACTAAACCATTTCTAATCGAAATCAGCTTTAGAAAGATTTAGCAGTTTCTTTAAAATATATTTGTGGTCTTTCTCAAAGCATGAAATTCTTTACTGAGTGACCACTGCAGCTCTTTGGCAATCACAAAGTTTCTAATGCATGTTTTGGGTGAAGATAAAAAAACAGATCTATTCTGTTGGCAGATGATTCAGTTTTGTATTAAATCCCGCATATGCTTTACCTGTGATAGCTAACAGTATTATTTTGTTTTGTCTAACCATGCCCAAGTAACTTCACTGTCTGAGACTGAGTGGATCTGAATTTTGCTTAATCGATCAGTTATGCTGAACTAAGTATAAACTAAGGACTTGGAAACTATCCTGATACAAACTAATTCTTAATTATAGAAAGCAGTTTTTCTCCTGCTTACTTTCCATCTCACTTGTTTTTCTCTGAAGACGTTTTATCAACTCTGCTCATTATCATTATTGTGTGCCTACTTGGTAGGCAATTTACCTATTGGATAAATACTAAATATTTACTAATTATATTCATTTTTTTAAACAAAAAAAGTCCTTTACTCTGATATCTATGCGTCTCGTGTAAGATGACATCATTAACTGCAGCTAAACTGCAGAAAACACTGGGCAACTCAAATGCAGATAAAAATTGAAACCTTTGACTTTCCATTGGCCTTCACTGACCCACTCTGACTTTGCCAGTGCCAATGAGAAAAGCCAAAAGAACAAGCGAGTGTCCCACTCCCGCTGTGGGAAATGAAGTTGACCACAGCTGAGAAGTGCCAGCTTTAGTAACTGTCTCGAAGGGTCAGATAGCAGTGACTCTTGCTTGCTCCTCAGCCTGGCTTGTGGTCTTCTCTTTCAGGGCCCTAGGTAAAACAAGCATACCTATACCTTCATATTGCCTTTACAAGAAAGTAATGATGAATATATGGTTTTGTTTTACAGATTCAAATTCTTGATATTGAGGCAATCATGGTGGAAACGATCTTGGCACCGTGGGAAATCGCGCTGGTCATCTTTGCCACGGTGCTGATCATGAGCTTCCTGATGATGCTGCCCCCCACTGCCGTGGTGCTCTGGAGGATGAAGTCTGCGCCTCAGATCTCACTGCACGGGGCCATGTGAGCCCGCCCTAAACACGGGGTGATCCCCATAAAGGATGGGCAAAGCAATAAAAACTCTCAAGATCACATCACCCAAAATGATGTTTTTCCCCAACTATTGCTGCCGCGTTGCTGTGAAAAGAGAATATGTACAATTTTCTTTTCATTTATTTACTGTAGTTTTCCACACTTTGCCTTCTGCTTGTTGGCTACATTGTGATTACTTGCTCAGTACCCAGACTTACTTCTTCCCTTGCATTATAATGGACTGAAGAGTAAAATAAAAGGAAGCCTTGTATACTATTTCTTTAACTAATTTCAGTAAAGAATGCCTATTTATATTACACTGTAAATAATACCAGAAGTTTAACTAACTGAGATGACTGACAGTTATGCAGGTGGGCATAGTAAAGGAAAGGTGAAATACAAGGCATCTAGTCCCTATCTTGTCTGATTTCAAAGGTGCTGACCTAAATGTTTTTTTCTCTTTTCTGTCCTACTGTATGATGTCTTCTCTTTGCATACCCTGAGTGTAAGGACATCAAGCCATGGCCATGCCAGGGTGTGAGCAGCAGCGTGAGGGACACGCCAGCCTAACCACCAGCCCTCAGTTAATGCAAACATACCATGGATATTTGCCTGAATTACATTATGCAAATTTACTCAGGGAAATAATGTGATTAAGTGTGCTTTAGTTGTAACTGTATCCTATAAGCTTACTTGTTTGACTGCCCTTTCTCACATATGAATAATAACTTGGGAGGTGGAAACAGAGCAAAAGTGCTTATCTGTAAGCACTCTTTTAGCTCAAAATATATGGACTATTAAATCTTATGGCCTTCCAGCCTAATTCTTCTGTATCATATGATGCTCATTAGTAAGATTTCTAATAATTTCTGTTACTTTACAAGACCAGTGGGCTTGATTTTTCTCATTAAAAAACAGCAGTGGATCTCTTCTGTTTTCTTGGTTGGTTTTGGAAGGCCGCTGTGAATTTACCAGGAAGGAAAGTACTTTTTTTAACAGCAACAGAAAAGTGATAATGGAAAGTGCTCAGTGCTTCAGGGTTGAGCAATGGCTGATAACGCATTGGCCAGAAATAAAAGACTCAGAGACATTGTAAGTTCATTTAATATGGGTTATATATCTTCCAACAGTAAACCCACCAAGGGCTGAAAAACAGTGGCTTTTCTTAAAGACTGCAACACTTTCCTGGGCAGCTCTGGCTGGGCCGTGAGGAGCCGGGGCTGCGGCTGGGCTGCAGCTCCCCGCTGCGGTACCAGCCCTGCGGCAGGCGGGCTGGGCTTGTGTGATTTGAATGACTATATTGTAGACCCTTAATTCTGAACACCTGAAAGAGAGTCTGTAATTCTCCTAAAAAGTGTTACATATACCTGAATCATGTAAATGATTAATGAGGTAAAAGTCAAATAAATGTCATGTGCAACTGCGCTGCCTTGTCTCTCTGGTATGCATGGGGAGGAGGTGAAGAAGAGACAGGAAACACAAGCAGACGAGCTGCAGCCCCGGCATTGGCTGCATCAGCTCTGCTGCTCAGCTCTTCAGCCAACAGAAGTGACTTCCAGCAAACCCTGCGGCTGGTCCCAGTGCAGACGAGGCCGGACAGAGCTGAGCTGCGCGATCAGGCGTCTTCACAGCTCCCGTGCAGGCTCCTCCATGCCACAAACAGACGTGGCTTCCTGCTCATCGCACGTGTCCTCACAGATCACTTAGAGGCTTTGGTTTTGCAGATTGGGTACACGTGTGTGTGTGTGTGTGTGTGTGTGTGTGTGTGTGTGTGTGTGTGTGTGTGTGTGTGTGTGTGTGTGTGTGTGTGTGTGTGTGTGTATTTTTGCATATATGTGTGTGTGTGCATCTATGTATTCTTTCTGCGCCACTGGAGGCGGCAGCCACCGTGTCTGGCAGCCCCCGTAGCCGGCA